AAAGTTGTCGAAGGCCGACGTACAGTATGTGGGCTAGCTCATGAACTATCAACCGAAATACCAAAATGAGTTTTCATCCACGAATGATTAATTAAGTAGGGTTGTAAACCTAATCGCCTTGAAGAGTACATCTATAATAATTCAGTTGCCACAGGATGCCTACATTTGAACGAACCTCTTTCCGGCTGCATGCAGAAACTGTACTCCGTAAAAGTGGTCTCTTAAGTAGCATACACTTTTCCCATCCATTTTCGATGTTCTTACAAATTTATTTATATTTTATGGACGAGATGCATAAAAATAAAAGTAAGTCTTCTTCCAGGTTTATACCCTTGGAAAGGGTATAATTCGATTTTTAAAAAGGTTCAATTGTGACACTTTTTAATACCGCAAAATGGCCGATCATAAAACAACATCTCTCTGCATTTACCAATGTGGCTTGTAAAGTTAATAATACGGCTCAAACGCACTGCCAAATTTTATGAACCCAATAGAGTCTCCGATTAAAATCAAAGAGAGATGTATGGTTTTCACACCCGAAGAATAGACGACTTATAGCTTGGAAACCCTGAATGCCTGTGCAACGGCATGTCGAGTTCAAAATTATTCGGGAATTATAAAAAGTTTTTAAAAAGCCGAATTATATCCTTTTTTGAGTAGCAAATTGGAAGAAGACCTTATTTCCTGTCAAATGGGCAAAGGAAATAATATTTTTATGCATGTGTCCCATGAGATATAATTGAATATTTACGGGCATCGACATTCAGTGAGAAAGATACATGCTGTTTAAGTAGTCATTTTTTACAGATTACAGTTCTTGCACGCCGGCATACAAAGGTAACTGAGTTATTATAGAATTATGCTGCATGATGATTAGTTTTACAACCCTACCAAATTAATCTTTTGAAAACGAAAACGCATTGCTTAATTTCGGTTGACATTTCATAAGTTAGCCCAACTACTGTATGTTCGCCAAAATACCTGTTGAATTTTACAATGGGAATTTTCGCAAGTTCTCAGTTAGCGCCCACAAAGGAGAACGGGGTTTGCTTATACGATCATTTAAACAAATTGAGAACTTTGGCGGTCTTTGATTCAATAAACACAAGCGTCTGGAAATAGGATTTACTTTATAGCATATATCCTGGCATACAACAGAAAACGTCTCTCGTAAACACCGCAATTCTCATGCGTCAGCGCTGGAAGAGTGGTCCGCCTCCGCTAGCGTGCAGGTAAATGGAGTCACCGGAGCACAGCCCATTGCATGATCCTCCAATGCGGACAGCCAGTGATCCATTTTTCTGATGTTGTCCGAACACCCGAGGCCAGAAAATTTGACGAAGTCACAGCCCAACCCGATAGCCTACAAACATCAACGATTTTGCATCAACAGTTTATTTAACGTGAGAGTATAAACTGGTTATTGACCAAC